TGGCTCCGAAGGTTCTGGGGCGTCGGCAGAAGGGTCAGGTCGTACTGGACGTGCATGATCATCAGGAGGTTCCGAAGGTGCATTGGTCTCCGCAGTCTGGTGTGTGATCAAGCCCGGGAAAACCGAGTGAGTGGAGGCAACGTAGCATATGGATGCGGCGCTTGAGTTCATAGCCGTTGCATTGTCTTTGCCCTTGGCGATGCCCGCAAGGTTGCACAAGCGTTGGATTTGGTCATTTCCTCCAGCTAGGGCACGGATGCATTTGGGTGAGCGGCAGATGGCCAGCAGGCCTGATGGGTTTTGTCCTTTGCCTATTTTGTAGAGCTGAGAGGTACAGATCTTGACAGCATAGCCGGGTAGGTTGTCGATGTCTGCGATCTCAGAGGACATTCCGAAGAACCCGTAACATGGGTATTGAGTCGGCATGCCGGCTTCGTTTTTTGTCCAAGTTGCCGGGCGAATGCAGTCTTCCGCGAGAATTTTGGCAACTGATTCCCAACTCGTTTTGTGGTAGATCAGGTAGGTGCCCATGTGTTCGCCACGGTAGATTGGTTTCTTTTTCAATCCTGTGGGAACCGTGATGGTCAGCAGGTTCTCTGGCTCGATGTAGAAGGCTTGTGTTTGCCTCGCGAGCTCGATGTCCAGTAAGTTGGATTGTGCAAAGGCCCTGGCAATATTCCTGACGGTGGCTTGGCTTGCTTTGATGTAAATACGATGGTTGTTGACGGTGCGGTATGGTTGAGCCAACTGTTCGAACATCGCGTCCACAAATTGGTTGAAGAGCTGCAAGATAGCCGGGGTCAATGATTGGCGTAGGGGGACAACATGATCGGGGCCAAGCTCAGTCAGGCAACGGACCCTATGGGGGTCATTGGCCGCCTCAACCATTTCACTGAGGTCGATGTCATTCGTGTCAAACTTGGTGATCGAAATTGTATCTGCAACCTCAGAATTTTCACTGTCGCCGTCCGGGACTCGGAAGGACACCGCGCCGAGTGGTGCTGAAGTGTGGGTTGGTGGGTTGGTTGGTGGTTCCGGTGGTGGTGGATCGGCAGGAGAATTGGGTCGAGCAGTGTGGTGGTGGTAGTTGTCGGTGTAATGGCTGTCGTTCCATGTGCCCCAGGTGTCATCAACGTCGGGAGTGGGGATGTAGGCTGGATTGGATGGGTTTGCAGCAGGTCGAAGTACGACTTCACGGCCTCTGGATCGGTGACGTGGTGTCGCGGAACGTGGTCGTGGGTGAGATCGATGACGTCGAGGAACCACGGGAGAGCGGCGTCTTGGCGGTGATCTTCGTCTGTATGGGGATGGGGTTCTGCGGCCCTTGGCGTGTTTCGTGGATGATCGATAACGAGGAAGAGGAGAACGAGGTCGAGCTGCACGTTGAGGAGAATAGCGATGGTGATGGGAATGTACAGAAGGTCGATGGGAACGTGATCTTGGAGTCCTGGATCGTGGTCGGCGTGTTGGTGATGGTGGAACTTGTGGTTGATGAGGAGGAGCGATGGCTGGAGCTTGGACAATGCGAAGGTCCGGAACATCCGGTTCGGTGGGTCTGGCTTTCGGTGCCGGTGGAGGCGTGGCGATCAGTGGTGGTGTAGTTGTAGGTGGTGGTGTCGGTGGTATAGGATTCGGTGGAGGTCCATCTTGTTGGGGAAGGAGTTGACGTTGTTCTTGTGCTCGTTGAGAATCCATGATCAATTGTTGCTGAGCCTGAATAAGTCGAACCGATTCCGCCAGTTGCTGTGCAGTGGAACCCAGGGATGCAAGTTCAGGTGACACGGATGAAGTCGGTGCTGTCGTAGGTGCCGGTGGTGTAGCATGAGGAGGGGCTTTCGGAGCTGGCCTGCGCGGTCGATCCGTTCTTTTGTCAGAGCGAGGCCTGGGAGCTGCCTTAACTGCTGGGGCCCGTGGTGAAGGCTCATTTGGAGGTACCGTCGATGCGTCCATCTGTAATGGAGGTTGAATGTGGTGAGGTGGGTATGGAGAACTGGGCAAAAGTGTCGGTGGCATAGTCGATGGAGGTGGTGTAGTCGATGTAGGGGATGGAGCCGGAGGAGAAGGCCACGTGGGTGGAGCGGTGGGTGCCATAGGAGATGGAAAAGTCGACGGAGCGGTGTGCACCATAGTTGGTTCAGGGGCCAACGGCGAAGGCATGGTGGGTACGAGCTGTGGGCCTGGTACTGCATGAGGAGCCGAAGTCAATGAGGTGAACGGCAACGGTGTTGGAGCTGATGTAGACAGCATGAGCGAAGCTGAGGATGACCATGTAGGATGCAAGGCCGAGGGATGTCCAAATAGATGTGCATTCGGCGATGATTGCTGCCACGTCGAAGATGGGTTCGTGGGCTGCGGTGGAGCAGGCCATGACGTTGGCGGTGTGTTCCACGGATGCATCGCTCCAGTGGACGAAAACAAAAGTGGACAATCACATACAGGATTCAGTCCCTAAATGCCTAAATTGTCGTGCGATTATTCCCTGCACCGGGACCGTGGTCAAGTCTTGCCGCAATGGCATAAAACAGCTTCCAAGTTCCAACGAATTAGATGCACAATATGTTTCACCTCACCAAACAACCATCAAAAGAAAGAGACACCACACCTGAAAGACGTGTGCCTGCCTTTTCACAATGTCTTGACATGATTTCGTGTAGCTGCAAAGATTGCTGCAAACAGCGGAGGTTTCTGAAGTTCGGCACGGCTTCACAGTTAAAGAGACGCATCGGCGAGTAATCCCTGGGACCACAAGATCAGCGGGACAATCTCAAAAGGCTGGAAAACCGCAAGGCTGATTGTTGCCCTTTACTTAGACGAATTACTAAGTTAAAATGTGTGAATTCAGAATTCCAGACGGTCAACACTCACCCTAAAAAGGGTTGCCTCAAATGGCTCCATGGCACCATGTCGGAGCCACCATGGAAATCACACTAGACAAGAATGGATCATTATATGATCCGGCAGGAACTGAATCCTGAAACATGCAAACCAGCCTAGATCGTTAGATTAATAAAGGAGCCACATGAGGTACTTCTCGAAAACGATGTAGGGCATCCAATATTGTCAAACGTAGTCATAACCAGAGTCCATAGAGTTTTGACCAGCATGTTGAAAATCCAAAATAATGTTTCGGCGATTGTTTCCCAAAATGACCCAAAGTTCATCGGCGACATGATCTCGGCGAAAATATATCAAAAATTCAAAAACACTGTCGGCGAAATGGTTTCGGCGAGAATCTGAGGAAGGTTCTGATGCATAAACTACAGATTGTGGCAACCGTGGAGGAATAAAATCATGGTGGTTGGGGTTCTGAGCTTGGCCCCTTGCTATGTCGGAAAAAGCAGGTACGTGGAGTTGATCAGACTCCATATCCTAGTCAACTGCATGGAGCTTCGTTGGCGACAGCCATGCAGCGACCCTGTCGCCCCCTGCAAATATAAACAGGTTTCCTGCAACTGTAAAACGGTAAGAGTCAAGGAAGTTTTACATCTGTTCAGATGTTACACACACACACGTCATGCTACGTTATTGCTATGTTCTCTTGCACTTGCACACACACGTCGTGCTACGTTATTGTGATCTTCTCTTGCACTTGCTCACACACGTCATGCTACGCTATGGTTAACTTGGGGTGGGGTTGGGTGGGGTGGGGTGGACAATGACGTTCATGTCAACTTGCACACACACACACGTCATGCTACGTTATTGTTATGTTCTCTTGCACTTGCCCACACACGTCATGCTACGTTATGGTGATCTTCTCTTGCACTTGCTCACGCACGTCATGCTACGCTATGGTTATCTTGGGGTGGGGTTGGGTGGGGTGGGGCAATAACGTTCATGTCAACTTGCACACACACACACACGCCATGCTACGTTCTTGTTATGTTCTCTTGCACTTGCACACACACGTCATGCTACGTTATGGTGATCTTCTCTTGCACTTGCTCACACACGTCAGCTGCTACGCTATGGTTATCTTGGGGTGGGGTTGGGTGGGGTGGGGTGGGGCAATAACGTTCATGTCAACTTGCACACACACGTCATGCTACGTTATTGTTATGTTCTCTTGCACTTGCACACACACGTCGTACTACGTTATGGTGATCTTCTCTTGCACTTGCTCACACACGTCATGCTACGCTATGGATATCTTGGGGTGGGGTTGGGTGGGGTGGGGTGGGGCAATGACGTTCATGTCAACTTGCACACACACACGTCATGCTACGTTATTGTTATGTTCTCTTGCACTTGCACACACACACGTCATGCTACGTTATGGTGATCTTCTCTTGCACTTGCTCACACACGTCATGCTACGCTATGGTTATCTTGGGACCATTGACACCTTACCGATTTCTCGAAGAACTTTGCAAGGCCGTCAAAGCAATGAAGCGCTTCTGAGAAGAAGGAACAAAAGTGCTGCATCCCAAAAAAACACGAACTTATGTCAAAAAACGAAGTAGTTTTGGAGATTTTCAAAACCCTATTTTTCACGTGAACATGAGAAAAAATGACGTTTCGCTGTAGCGAAAACAAAATTTTTGTTGATGAAAAACTCCTAAAACCATACGGCCGTCTATGGGTCGGGAACCTTGTAGTTGATTTACAGATGAAACATGGTAATTTTCCATAGCTACGTTAGTTTATCAGAGGGTATATGCAATTAAGATGCGATCTGATGGTATGTAATGGCAAAAGTCCTCTTTATACCAGCTGTTACTAGCTGGTCAAGAGTCAAGAGCAGGATTCCCAGTTCATGATGATAATTCCCTGTAAATATGAAGTGTGGGTTCATAACCCCCAAAAACCACTAAACTAATCATCAACCAACAGGGTGTCAAATGGATATGGCTCACAGGTTGAAAGAGTTTTGCTAGACATGCTTGGATCTGTAGGAATACCTTCATTTTCTGACAGTTTTGTGGGGTCATGGAGTCATGGCGATTCTCGGTTGAAAATCTGACTTCTTGGGATGACTTGACTCACCTGAGGCGCCCCGCAAGGCACTGGGGGTGCACTCTGGCAGTTCATGCTCTCGATTCAGCAGCAGCCGCCGCCTCTACAAAAAAACTTCCAAGGCTTCCCCTCAAAGAGCGAAAAACTGTTTCTAAGCACAAAGATGGGGCCTGAAACCAGGGACAATACACTGATATCACCAACAAGTCCGTGGATTCCGACACACTTCGCACGGGATATACCCCAGGTGCCAGGAATCTGCAACGTGAAGGGTTCAATCTCCCAAATAAACCATCAATGGCTGATTGAAAAAAACGTGCCTATTTACTTCGGTAACTTAGTAATTGTAATGCTTGCTGTCGGTTGTAGAAAATGCAAAAGTCTGTACCAGAGCTATTCATAGCCATCACTTGCTACCTGTTGGTCTGATACGAGTCGAGCAGTACCACAAACGCTCTGCCATCAACAAACCTCCCTCGGTTGATAATGATTCCCATATCCAATATGGCAGCGTGTCAAAACCATGTACCCCTGGTGAACATCAAAATAGCTGGTAAATGGATGTTCATCCCCCTAAAAATGGTATTAATAGGTATTGATCCATAGCCATATGTTCCAATAATAGTAATTCTCCGTTTCTGTTGAACCAGTCAGTCTTACCCCACACAAGCATCAACCACCATGGAATCCCATCGCACTGGGGGATCCCGACATCTTTGCACAGGGCTGCTGCAGAGTCGCGAAGTCGCGTAGCATGGAGATCTCAGGATGCACTGGGTGGCAGAAATGGGAAGAACTCCAACCTGCGGATGTTGACTAACCTTCATCTGGAGCTTTGACCAAAATGCGTTTGCTACGTTTGTTTAAATCTCCAGGAAAAAATAGGGACCAACATTAACAGGACCTTTGACAAAACTCCAATCATGGGCAGCCAACAAAGCTCAGCTTGGACCGACAAACATGTGTCAATTCACTAGCCATCTGCCCGAGGGTTCGTCTCGGAGTCGATTAATCCGTCTGGTAAACCTCCCAGTTCTATAATGTTCTCTGGATATCATTTCCGGTAAAAAAAAGGATTTCTTCAGTTCAGCCAGTCATGGTTGTTTCTAGAAGAGAAACTTCATATGATGTGGGTGAAATCTCCGTTGTTTGTTGCTTTAATCTGCATTTTGTTGTTTCTTTCCATATGTTTCCTATTTACGATTTGGTTAGTTTCCAGCCAGAAAAAAACACCAAAGGGCCAGGATCATACGTCTATGTTCAGCCCCAAACCGATCGGATTGATATCCTTATGGTTTCTATATGGTTCTATAAAATTTTAGGATATCTTTGGATACCCTGTGGAAAATCCCCAGTGAAATAAAAACGGCAATTCATCCAACTAAATGGTCCACGTTTGTTGGTGATATCAACATCTCGCTACACTCGCAACCAAAACATATTCCCCATGAAACATCATGGATGTGGGTCTGTGAGATACTTATATCTAACAAATAAAATATCCCCATTATATTCATTATATTCAACAATATTGTTGGTTATATCAAGTTATATCCCAACAAGTTCTCCAATTATATATATTCAACAAAAATGTCTCTTGTTTAATCATGACATCCATATTATGTTTCACTCTTATACATCTAGATTTCTATCTTTTTCTATCCACATTTCCATCATATCCACTATACCCCAACATATTCTCCCACGTCCCAGATTTCCCCCTCGCATCCGCACCAAATGCTCCGCATGAAACTTGAAGGGTCGCTGATCTACAGCGGCCTCGTAGGTCTCGCGGGGTTAAAAATGGCAGAGGATCAAAATCCGCATGAAAATGGCAGGGCTTAACTATGCTTTATGGTAGATATACAGTAACTATAGTTAATGGATGTTAATGGAGTTTATAAACCAACATTCACATCACTGGGGGGCACCATCCTGTATAATAGGATTTCATCCAGTGCCATCATCTGACTATCAGAATCAAGATGGTAATCATGACGTTGATGATCATGACAATGATGATAACAGTAGATGGTAGATGATAGATCATAGTGACACTTCAAAATTCGGTTATGATGGGTCGTGTGGTGTATTGGGGACCCTGTCTTGATCCATACCCAAGTTACACTAGATGAACAGCTCTCCATCCCAAATCTGCCTCAGAAGGAACGGGAAATGCATGGCTTAAAACCTAGGCCTGATCCATCCTTTGGCCCTAAAACATACTAAAACATAGCTATGGTAGCTACATGTAGCTACCTTGGCCCTAAATCGCCATTTCAATGGAAGGGAAGTTGCGCCAGCTCGCGGCGCCTCAACATGGACCGCAAATTGGAACTCCTTCTGTCCCGCCTGTGACAACATGGCATCAGATCATCACCTTGCTACTGACAGCATTTCACCAAAAAAAAAAACATTGTGCGTTTTTTGGCCAACGAAAGACTGAAAATCTGAAGACTACTGTGGCTGTTGCTTGAGCGCATCATCTTTTTGTAGGTGTTTTTTCTTGAATCTTGATCTTTTTGACCCCACTGAAATTATGGTCAATGTTTCTTCAAACCAAAAATTGATCAGAAACGGTGTGCCTGAAAATCCGCTACCCCAATAATTTGATGAGCACTTTTGCTCTCTGAAAATACGGTATTTGTTTAAACCCCCCAATTGATTGGTTTTTCATGGTGACCATGCACAAAAAAAAGCATGGCCATCAATTTTTGTTCAAACTAACTATTTTCAGGTACCAAACTCCACACCCCACAGTCTACAATGGTAGGGGTAACACGGGAAGAATGTGCAAGACTGTTAAAATAAAACTTTCTTCGCAAAGGTGTCGTACGTGACTGCTTTCGGGTTCGTGGGTTGGTCTTGTCTTTCTTCACATGTCCCATTTTTGTAGATTAGATATATTATGATATATTGTTGGTACCAAACATAATAATACCAAACATCTTTTCTAAGATATATGGGTATGGATCAATACCTATTAATACCATTTTTAATGGGATGAACATCCATTTACCAGCTATTTTGGGGTTCACTAGGTACCAGGGTTTTGACTTATGGTTGGTTGTATCTCCCAACCAACAGCTTCCCAGCCATGGTTTCACCACGGTTTCAAGCCTTGGCGATTGCTGCCACCACATCGCAGGTCATCTTCGGAGTCAGGGAGCCCAGCTCCGGCATCAACCTTGGGGCGGGACAAAGTGCTGTGATTTGGAAAAATCCTTGGGATGTCACACTGAAAAGATAGGTTTTTCACGTATAAAATAGATTGAAATATATTTTAAAAAAAAACATTTATAGATGATTTTCCCAGCTAGAAACCTCCATTTATGGTTGGGATTTTCCATGGCTATGTTAGTCATAACCAGAGGGTATATAAAAATGGTATTTAAGGTATGAAAAATGTTGCGATTCAGTGGATTCAGCTTTTGAAGTCTGACTGACTTTCAATGGATCGGGCTGTTGTTCGGAAAGTCAATTTTTACGCCCCAAAGATTGATTGGGGTGTCCGATGTTGCAGCCAATTCACTTCTGGGACAAAAACCAAATGCATGTCACTTGGGCTCGGAACTCAAGAAATGGAAAAGAAGAATGGTTCGGAAATTAGGATAAATGAATGAAAGTAGAACATGCATACAATCCAATCAGAATCTATCACATTCCACCAGGGTTTCTGCTGCTTTCCCCACTGCCTTCAGTCCATTTTCAAACCATGGTCTCTTTGGGATCTGAGATGGCTAGTTTATTGGTGTATCATCATGTTATATAATCATGTTCTCAATTAAAGTGGCCATACGGTAATACCAACAATTTTTGTCGGACATAGCCTCTGGCAATTTAACAAAACTATGGACAAGCACCATTTTTTCATTGGTAAATCATCCAACTAGCTAGGCCAGCTAGGCCATCTATACATTCTATACATTTCTATACCATACTGTTCCAAATTCCCAGACGATACGATGCTCCTGGGATCTCCTGGGATCTCCTGGGGCTCCGGACTTCTTCAAGAGAACCAGGTACAAACGCCAGGCTTTCAGCCGATGGAACACATCCTCTGGCTGAATATCCAGGCTTACACCTCGCTGTGAGCGCGGAGCTGTGGAGCTGTGGAGTGGAAATCGGATCTGGACTTCACCGTGCTTCACCCGCGATTTTGGGAAATCCATGGAAGTCAATATTCAGTCATACCATTCATACCAGTTATACCATAGCCATCGGAGTGGAGAAAATGACTGTCCAAGTGGCTAGTCCACTCTCGGATGCTGTCAAAAGTTGTTGCGAACAGATGAATAGTGAATGACAAGTCCAAGCGTTCTTCCCACAATTTTGCTTCAAAGTTCAGGGGCGCTCAGTTATCCAAGCCTCGGGTGGCAAACACATGCTCTACCTACTTCCATAGGGTTTTTCTTGTCAGGTTAAGCTCTTCGAGAACGGCGTTGGTTCCCTGTCAGTTCCATCTTGCAATTATTTAGATAGATAGATAGATAGATAGATAGATAAATAGACAGACAGATAGATAGATAGATAGACAACATAATATATTGAATACCCAATTCCTTGTGGTATTAGCTGCCACGCATGTTGTTTTGGGTCCCCAGCAAGACACAATGGTCTCAGCTGCTGCCTGCGCACCAACTGTGGGAGGGAGAACCACGGCCAACCGTGGTAAAACGTGAATTTTCACCAAAATCATTGGGTAAATATAAGGAGCATTGAGGAGCCCTGTCATATTTTGACCATCCAAAAATTCTGGACTATATTCAAAATGACCGAAAACACATTGATAGCGTAACAGTGTGTAGCACAATTTGAAAAAAATATCTGGTCTCCTTTTTGGCACCTCTTGTTTCTCAGGGTTTCCATGGGCGGCCCGAAGCACAGCAAATAAAAGGCCAAATGGTAGTTGATGGGACCGAACATTTGGCTGAATGATTTCCAATATGCGGATGACCTACGGATGTACCCCCACCTGCAACTGCGTTTTTTTTGCCATGAGTTTCTTGGATGTTACAATAGGAGTCCCCTTTGTCACCATGGCTTTCCACCAGAACCAGTCCCCGTGACAAGTCCTGCGGGCTTAAGTAGGAGATACTCCGTGGCACGTTTCGCACCTTACTGGTCCAGGTCACAAACGTGGGTAGGCTAACCCTCACGAGGATGAACTGAGACACCATCAAGGATTCTACTGTAGGATGGATTAACCATCAAAAATGGAGGTTCTTACATGTTCTTACATTCTTACCATCTATGGGGTGTATCCATAAAGAACATGTCTAGCCATCAAAACCTGCAAATTAATGGCAAAATAACAGGTCGTTTTCGGTAGACGACCATACCATTTTTGGGTGCTCCATCAACCCATCCTGACCCAGCAAACATTGTATAGACTTATAGACCTGTCAATCAATGAGGCCAAACCCCCTTAGTCTTGGCTCGGTCAAAATGTGTCAAAACCGTGTCAGTTGGCGCCATATTTGATGGTAAGAACCTCCATTTTGATGGTTACCCTTTGGTAATTTCACCGTTTGCTATGGAAAATGTCTGAAAAGTGCCCATTTCATTTGATGATTTTTACATATTTTTACCATGTTTCTTTTAATGGTGATTTTCCCAATCGCTCGCTGCTCGCTGTTCTCCGCGGATCCACCAGATCCTGAAAAGTCACCGACCGGACCGTCCTGAGAAGCGTACCAATAAGCGGAGCGTCCTGCAGTGACGGGGAAATATCTTCTGAAAAGTGGGTGCCACAGATCCACAGCTACCATTTCCCTGAGAAAAAAACGTGGCCGAAAATGGTGGCCTGTACTCGGCCATTGTGCAAGCTTCAAAACATGTTCATGTCCCAACCTCATACCCATCCAACAATTCCCAACTTGAAGGTTTCAAGATCTCGAGAACTACAACTGTTCGACAACCCCTTGATCTTCCCGGGCTCCAAGGCTCCAATCCCAAAAATCTTGGAACATCTCCAGTCTCTACCTTGACGCCTGGTAGTTGCAACCTGGCAACGGGTGCAGTCCTCTTGTCGCCCACTTCCAGGAACGCCAAGATTTTCAGCGCTTTGGCTGGATAGCTGTACCTTCGCATGGCAGGGGTCTGGGGGATCAGCTTAGAAAATGACCTGGGTGCAGCCAAATATATAATGTGTATGTATATTATTTGGATTGATTTTGTTTTATGTACTTATGCGGCTATCTATTTATCTATTGTTTTTTTTGTTGTGTTTATATATTCATTGATTTGTTTATCTCTTTATCTATGTGTTCATGTATTTATTTATTTAGTGTTATCATGTTAGTTATTCAGTTAGTGAGTCAGTTAATATATTATACAGAGTAACAATAATAAGAAGAATTGCTATTATTGCATAGAGATAGATGAAAAAATCATCTGATATGGCTGTGGATCATTTTCAGATCTCTTGGGACCCAACAAACGTTGGTCGTCGGTTCCTTCATTTGATACTTTAATTTAGGATCATTTAGGTTGCCACATCTTTGGCTTACAATTCCAAAAACACGTTCGAACTTCAAAGCATACGCTCGAACAAAGTCCTCAACCCATGCACCAATTCAGAGTGACCCTTTTCGAATTTTGCTGTCCTCAATGGTCCAACCGGCAAAGACTCAAATGATGGAACTTTAAATGCTCGATTTCGGGATTTCGGTACAAAGTCTCAACAATGTCTATCAAAAAGCGGGGGAACATAAAATCAAGTCTAGCAATTGAAGCTCCAGGATTGTATGTATATACATCACCATTTTGACAAAACCCTAAGTTCAACCCAGACGACACATGTCAATACTGAATTATGATCATCCCCAATAAGGGTAGGTCTTCTTTAAAGCCCCTACCCACCGTAGTATACACTTGGGAGTTGGTCAACTGGTCACTTCATGTTCAAGATCAGCTTGTAAACTTCATTGGCGATCCTCTCTGCAATGTCTTTCTCTTGCACCTCGACTCGGACAGGGCGAGTCAATGTGGGACCTGCTGTTTTTTTGAACGGTAGGGATGCGGGAGAGGTAAACCCCCAACGAAACCAGGTGATATATGGCAGTGTGTCAAAACCTTGTACCCCTGGTGAACATCAAAATAGCTGGTAAATGGATGTTCATCCCATTAAAAAGGGTATTGATAGGTATTGATCCATACCCATATGATCTATTGAGATCTTATGAGTATCATTGAAGTTCATGTTGCATATCGATGCTTCTTCACTTCATATCCACAAAATTCCACAAAGTCCCTTGGTACTGGATTCAGGGAAGCGATCCACCTGCAGAACCACATACATCTCGCCGATGTCAATGAGATTCCACCAAGCATATTCATGCAGCCGGTAAGGCAACTCCTGCATGGATTTCGGCTGGAATTGATCATGGGACCCTGGGGAAGATACAAGTTGGACAAGTTGTAGCTGGGATTCTGCTGGGATTTATGGATGCTCCATTTTGCTATGACCGTCATGAATGCCCCCATGAAACCACCAGTTGAGGGTTATATAAATCCGCGAAAACCTCAGAGGGTCGGCGTAGCCGTCTGCAACAAACATAGATCTGCGGATTAGGTGGCCAATCTTGTCTGAATACCCACCATCAAAAATCATCATTGCTTGAATTCATGATCCTTAATGATCCCAAAAATGGATCTATTCAGACTCAAAAGCTCCAAGCTTTCTCCCAACGTTCCGCCGTGTCCCCGTGTCCCGTCTCAAGACGGCCAGGAAAAGGGGACAATGGTACTGCAATGTTCTGAAGGTTCTTGCCAGATCACCCACCTACCAAGTCGGCCCATGGCCCAGGGACAATGGGATAAGCCACGAAAAAAGGGGTGGATGGATCCTCCGGGAATGGTTTTTCATCGTGGGAGGAATGTCATCCGATTTTTGGACCAAACTGCGAATCTAAAAGCTCAGTATGGAGGCTCCACCTCAAGAGAAAAAACAAAAGCTAGCAGCGGTTTCTGTTTTTTGCAGTCTGTCAATCCAGCTGTGCATCTTGTTGCTGGACACCCTGGTAAAAAATATGGACACGTTGCAATGTCTGGGATGGATTTTATGAGGTTGGAAATAGATGATGTTGCGACATTTGAAATGGATCTTGAAGAATTTTGCAACCTGTTTTGAAGGAATATGCAAAATCTGGTTCTGGGGGGTTCTCCAAGCAAAATGCCTATCAGATCGTGCTACAGCGACTTGCGGGTTGCTTTGACTTGCTCGGTTTCTAGGCTCAACTGAACCCAACTGATAAATCTGGGCACGTAATTGTTGGGTGTTCAGCTACTCCACAGCCTGAAGTATACAGTAAATTCATGTTAATTCCATCTTCTCATCCATTGTTTTTTGAGCTTGCTTCATAGCAGCAAAATTCCAGTACATCCAGCTTTTGCTTCATGGCGTCCAAGCGTTGGAGCCTGGATGCGTCCGGTCCTTCTGATCTTTCATTCTGTGGTCGTCATAGGGATTAACAAGTCCTGTACACCAAATCTCCGCACGTTCCACAGAATCGGAACGCTTCCACCTGGACTTACAGCCATGTTCACTGAACCTCTCACTATATCAACCAAAAATAACCAAAATCTGTGAACTTTGCGTTCTCAGTGCCCAGGCTTCCCCAGAATCGCTTGTCGACCTCCTGCTTGCTTAGCTTATACACCGAGATGATGTCCCAGCATCCCCACTTTACCATTTTCTTGTGGGAGACGTGCGTAATTGTGGCGGCCTATTCACAATTCTAAGTGCTATCGTCATTTCCAAAATGCTACGCGAAAAATGCATAAACATGTACAGCCTTCTTGATTACGACCCTGCCCTTGTCAGTGAGTCAATTGTTTCTTCATCACAGATGCAGGCATGATATGGCATGATCTGAAAATCAGTGCCCAAGTGACACCCCTTCGCCACGTTGTCCCCATTTCCGGCCTGATCCTCCGAAAAGTAGGGGAAACGTAGATCTAGGGCCTCCGCCGCAAAGTCAAAGAGCCTGGCTAAGGGGTCAAGGGCTGGAGTTTGGCAAGCCACAGACGTGATGCTTTGCACAAATAGCAGGTTTCATGGTTGAATCCCATGATTCATCGAAAAACCTCATTGTAAGAAATTAGTAGTAGTTCGACAGTTCGACGCCCAATGTTTGATGTTAAACCCCCATGTTTAATGGTTAAACCACAGTTTTCGGGGGTACAAATGTACTCCTGCCGCACCTGCCTGTGACATCAGTCTCGAAAAAAAAATGATCATCTTTTCACTGCCCTTCAGGCGCAACGCGAAGCCCTTTGCTCCACGATTCCAGCAAAGATTCCAGGGTCACAGTTGAAGCACAAGGCCTGGCACCCTGCAGATGTGGCAACCGATCGTCGTGGCAAGCTTTGTTGCAAACTGGAGGCTTGCAACCGCCCCGTTAGCTGCTTAGCTGGTAACAAACAAACGTAGCTTGTTAGGTTCAAATCAGAAGGAAGTCTGAAGAACCCACTGTTTTCACCCTCCAAAAGGATCCAAAAGGGAGGATCTCGGGGGCGTTCTTGAACAAAGTTCGCGAATGGCTGGTTTGGCTTCAACACGCTTCAGTCTAGGCATAAGGATGGAAAGTGAAAGAAAATGAAACCACCAATCAAACAAAAATACAAATATATAATTTAATATATAATCATATATATATAATACAAATGTGTAAAAGTCTATCTTTGAACTGAACTAATGCAAGTGCGCAGGCACAAAATACCAATCATGCTTATCATTAGATGTGAGCTGGTCATTTCACTCGCCAATAGTTGGGAATATTTGCGATGCCCCCAGCCCCCTAGTGACTCCTCCTGGCGAAATAGGCCTTCTCCAACCGGACCAGGCTTGACTTCGTATGGCTCACTATTGGTGGCTGATTTCAAGCACTGATTTCCTAAGGCCTGAATTTCTGAGCCATCAGTCCATCAGTCCATCAGTTACTTGGTCGCATTTGGTCGCGAGAAACCTCCTAACGACGATCGCTAAGAATTTTTCATCAGCGGCTTGCATGAAGTCGTCTCTGGAAAGCTGAAATAGACATCAGCTGGACGCTGGTCCCAGAATGTCCCAGACTCAAAGTGAATTTCGACTTCCTCGATGTTCCAAGGCTGTATGATGAAGAAACTCTGTGAACGACTTCATGCTATCGACAGATTCTTCGATGCTTGGCACATGCTGTGTGAAGTGTGAAACAAGCTGGCAGCGGCCGCTTCGAAGTGTGTCCACGGGGATTCCCAATGGACTTGAAGTTGAGAATGTAACGGGAAACTGAGGAAACCTTTCCTGCAAAGTTTCCCTTGGTTCCCAATGTCTAATATTGGATTTCCCAACCACAAAAATTCAAGACTGATTCGTGGTTCTTAGATTCTAAGTCACCACGTACGCCTTTTTACATTCACCCTGCACCGCTTCGCCGCACTGGGCCATCAGGTCTCAGCCTGCTAGGCGCACTGGGCCATCAGCCTGAGACAAAAAGCCACTGGTCATTGGCCAAGAAGGGGATGGCCTTGAAGCACCCCTACAAGTTGATCTATAACTCCAATTTATAACTAGAGTAGATGATATATCTATAGTATATCCATAGTTAATTGGGTTCATACACCAACAAACACAAGTGGGGGGCGCTACCTTGTGTTCGGAACCCCAAGAGGTTGCAGATCAGGGGTTTTCATTGCCGCCTTGTTGACTTCCTTACACTGTATCACACCCCGGTCTTGCTTGATTCTTTGGCCAAACAGGTGTCTGTCCAAAAAATCCAAAAAGTACAGTAGTTAGCAGTCATGCCTTGCAGTTTGGGAGGGGTTACTCCTCTGCTCGTTTTTTCAGCATCCTGCCCCAAAATCCCACTGCAGGAGACCCTTTCAGCAGATCAGGGAGTGCATCACCCGCAAAGGCGCGTACCAGCAACTGGCCGGGGGAGCTTGAGGTGTGAAAAAAAAAAAGGTTGACCCCAGAAAACAGGAGTTACCATGATTTCCCCCCAACAATTGGGGGAATTTGGAGATTTTGTCAGAATGACTGAAAATGAAACAAACTGCATAGTCAAGCGTGGATTCAAGAACCCCAGTTCATTGCATAATCAGGAAGTCCAGCCCGAAAAAGTGATAAATTGATTTTAAAATGATACCTGACAATTTCACAGCCAAGGGTGTTATTGGTCCGGGTAAATATTGATGCCGATGCAATGAAGATATGAACAAACAACAACAAGAAATGTATTTGTCTGAAAATGGGGTACCACAATTCCTCTCGATTGTGATTGCCTTCCATCCAAGTTGCAGCTGTGGGGTACACCCCATTCTTGGATAAATCCAGTCTATAAACCCGGGAAAAAGCAACAAACAAGTCTGGATTTGACCAACAGGAGTGGGAATAGATCCAACAAAATCGTGAATCTTGTCAACGCAAAAAGGTATCGATTACGTTAGAAAGGAAATTCAGGAAACGGTGTGTTGGGACTCCGGTACAAGCCTCAGGCTTCCCCCCAAAATGATCATGTTTGGGAGCGATCGGTTTCCAGAGGGTAAACCCACTCGTGTTCGCTTCGATGGAATATGATGTTCCTCTGTTTGTGGCTCAACAATTCACCCCCCATCGGCCAACCATTCACTATTATATGTCGCAACCATAGAACGACAAAGTCCATTTTTGGGGAAACCAAGTCTGACCGCCCACCTCATCACGTTCGGTCTTTGGTAGCACTGAACCTGGTGGATGGCAATCCCCCAATGGCAGGCCCCTCGCGTTCCCCCAATGGGCACATTACCTGTTGATCCTCAACTATGGGGCGCTGGTAACCCGCTGGAAGTTGTGTTGGGACGTCAACTGCAAAGACGAGGACCAGGATGTGGACTTCCAGACTTGAACCCTGCAAGTTGGGAATGTGCTAAACTACCCAGACTCACATTTTAATAACTATATATACCCTATGGTAAACTAACATAACTATGCAAAATCACCATTTTTAATGGGTAAATTCACTATATATTCACTATAAATGGGCCATTTTCTATGTCGCTATGTAACAAATTACCAGAGGGTAACCTCCTTTTATTTGGGCATGGTTCAAAGACATCACCAAGCCAGACCGCTGCTACACCTGCGGCGGCGCGCTCCAGGAGCTTGGCCACTTGCTCGGGGCTGGCACAAAGAGAACACAGGGAGAAGAGCACCGCGCTGGTGTCCTCACGTCACCGAGCTGGGTCAAGCTGCTGTAGTGCTGTAAATTCGTGTAGATCTGTATAGTTATATAGATATTAGATATTAAATAAAGATAGATGTAGATGTAGATATAGATACTCTATATTCCACAACTGTTATACATGAGTATCACAAGTTCAAGCCAAATGACTAAATAGTGC